CTGCCTTCAGTTCATCTTTGGTGTTACTTGTTGTTGGTCTCTCACTCAACTGTGTTCCACACGTAATAACCAAGAGGGTTGTGGTCTGGAGAGTTAGGTGGCCAGATGTAAGGTGTAAGGAGGTTGCAGAAATTGTCTGACAGTCATGATTGGGTTCTCCTGCTTGTGTGACATAGTGTCTTCCAGCAGCCACTCTCTTGACCCAGAGCAGCACTACCTGCTCAAGGCACTTGATGTAGGCCTTTGTGTTGAGTCTGAGGCCTTCACGAACAAATTTGAGAGTTCTTTTCTTATCAGAAAAGAGTGAGTTTTCTGAGCTGCAGTACCTTCATAATAACCATTAGACTTCTTCAATTCTTCCCGAATTCTCTACATAGTCCTTAGATTGACACTCAAACATTCTGAAATGTTCATATTGGAGCTCCTGACATGAATGCCAAGCATGCTGTTTCCAAATTTCTGGTAGACTGAATTGCATCATGGTACTCTTTTTCTCACAGTGCCCAACTGAATCTACTATACTCTGCAGTTAACAAAATCAAAAACAATGTGCATGTATGAAATTAAAAATACAAAATGGCGACAATTTACTCATCGCATCCTGTATTTAGAAATTGTTGATAAAATCTGAAGAAGAATCTGCAATTTCACCTCAGTTTCAGTCACTTTTCCACTACCGTAATGTAGCTTCCCTGTGCCTTTTCCATAAATACTTCCATGGTAATTGTTCTGATGAGCTTTCTTCTTGTACCTAGACTTTATGAATTTAAGTGCAGTACTAGATTGGCAACTAGGTCTCATCATTTTACAGTTGAAATAGCTAGATGTAACCATAAGATCTATGCTAATAGTTTCTCCTATCATTTTTCTTGCTTGTGGAACTCTCTTCTGTGGTGATGTGGAATTTTCATGTAATTTAACTGATTCTATTTTAATAACAGTATATGGAATAATTTGATAGCAACTTTAAATCATGAACCCAGCATTCAAATTCTAATTGCTATTTTGCATTACAAAAAATAATAAAGAGACAATTTATAGCTTTGTAAATGCATCAAAATAACTCTGGCAGATTTTGTTTCTTAATGGAAGACAATAAAAATTATCCCAAATCTCAGTGAATTTAGTATTCATCATAAATATAAACAACATTTTTAATAATTTTATTTCAGTTTTGTTTCTCTCACTTTTAAAGAAATAACCTTTTAAGCATTAAAATCATTACATGTTAAAAACTTTAATATTTTTTTAAGCATATCCTATACAACAAAGCCCCTAATTATAACAAGGCCCTTAATTTCAATATGCATCCAAGGAATGATTGGTTTGTTTTTTTAGGGCTTATCAACCCTTGTGGGTTATTTAAAGCTGAAACATTTGAATTGTAAGAATAATTCTTTTTATTTTTTGTGAGTGAATATTACATTAACAATTGCATTTGGAGAGAACAAAGTTTTTTTTTTCCAGATATAATTCCTACTATTTAACCCATAGCTGGGGGAGAAGAGATGAATTCCTACTGTACCCAAGCGCATTTGAGCAGAAGGGAAATGTAATGAACTCAAATAGAATTTAAATTCAGCTTTCAAATTTCTCAATCCAAACTGCTATCTATTACATAGATCTAAAGAAATCTGAAAATTCATTGATCTAAATAAGGTGATAAAAACAGCAAAGACAAAAATATTAATAATCAACCTTTTGGCTAAAATCAAAATTATAGTATCTGTTCTCTCCTCATGTGAGATGGGAAAAAAGCGCTCAATCTCAGTGATTTCAACCTTGCAGCAGCACCTTCCTCATTACACTAACAGAAGTAGGATTAGTGTAACATCAATGTCAGTGTGACGGTAATCATAGAGATTGGTTAGTTTTTGTCCTTGGCCGTATGTATATGCATGTGTATGGGCACACCGCATAAAAAAAGATCATCTGCATTAGTGAAGATATCAGGTAAATATCAACTTTTTAGGCAAAAAAAAAATAAAAAAAAATTAGTGAAGACATCTGTTGAAAAGAAAACTTATCTTTTGTTTCAAATAAATAATTCCATATTAAGTGAAAAGAGTGAAATAAAAATGAAGTTCAGAAGTAAAAACAAACACGGTAGGATAGGAATTGTACAAATGTGCTGGGTTTTTTGCTTGTCAACAAACGATACCAACACAAGAAAACAATCAGTATACTAAGAAAATAAAAAGAAATACTCTGGAACTATAAGATCCAGACTAACCTCTTTTTCATCTAAGTGAGAAAACAGAATATGAGAGTCGTAACAAAAAAAAAAAAAAAAGAAAAAAGCTGACTTGCAAAAATACGTGAGTGTGCTCGGGGATCACATGGTGATAGCAAAAAATTGAACCCACCCCACAAAACAATAGTACTGTTGGAACTCTAAAAATGTTCCTTTATATCAAGTGAATCATTTGTTGGTCGAAAATGTGAGTAACATTTCATTCGATTGGTTAATTTTTGGCCAATAAAAATCGAGTTGTTAATTTAGAATTCGCGCCTTTAAAGACTTTTGGACCGTCTGCTTTTTACAATTTATTTTCAAAAACAATTTTTAGATGACAAACCTTAAGGATGTTTCTTTGTTTAGTTTTTAATCAATTCAGTAGCTGTTGTTATTTTATGCTTCTCAGTAGATGGTCAAGTGATCTCTGTCAGATTCCTTTTGTTTTGTTCTTCACTTTTTTTAGTTTAATTACTTTAATTGTTTTTAATTTTAGCAAAAGAAAAAAAAATTCTTCCAAAACATCGAAACCATTCATTTGAGGTGTTAAAAAGGTGAGTAGAGTACAACTTTTGATCTTGTAAATGTATTTTCAGGGTTTCACTTACTAAAAGGGGCCTGTTTTTTGTTGTTTTTTTTCTTACAGAAAAATAAGAATAATGAGAAAAAAAATAATAACTTAAACTAAAAAGTAAACTATACTTAAAAAAAAAAGAAGATTGGTAAAGAACTAAGTAAGAGAAGAAGACTAAGATCATGTCCATAAAAATCTGTAAGTGTACGTTCTTGGTTAAAAAAAAGCACTAAGATTTGATAAGTTGGTAATTTGAGGAAGGGTTGAACTGGAACAGAAAAAAAAAGGTAGAAATAATATTATACTGAATTAAATTTAAAAAAAAAAAAAAAAATCAAATTATGGAACACAAAATGAAAAAAGGGATGATTGTACGGTAACGGCATAACGTCTTGAGTTTAAAAAAAAAATGTAAATCCGAGAAACAATTGAAATCATAGAAACGATAAGAAACTAAACATCATTATTTGACCTTAGAATACTGAGCATAGACTAAGTATTGAAAAGACTTGTTGTCACTTGGTTCCCTAGCCACAACAACCGTCCAATAGTGTGGGGGGAAAAAAAAAAAAAACTCGATGACAAAAACAGAAAAAAACTGTAAAATGTTCTGTTTCTCTGTAGTATCAAATTATTTTTTTATCTTTTATGTACTTGTTTGTTACAAGATGACATTGGTTGAAAAGGAACCCAGGTAAGATCGAACCCGTATGCAACAGCTTGCGAGAGGAGTTTGAAAAAAAAAAAATTTTTTTAATTTATTTATTTACGATTTTTAACGAAGTGCAAGAACTTTTTAAAGTTTCCAAGAAAATTTAAATTCATAAATAAAAAAAAATTTAAATTTAAAAAGTAAACCCTTAAGAAATTGATTTTTTTATACCGTTTTGTTTCGTTTTTTAACGAAAATTTACGTTTAATTTGAAAAAGAAAAATTGTTGAGTGAATAGCAAAAAAGGACAACAGGGGTTTCGTTTCTTTAAAGAAACGAACAGACAAAAAAAGAATGAACTAATGAACACTTCCTAATTTCAAAAATTGTCAGTTTTTATATTTGGTTATTCTTGGAGTTTTCGGAGTCGAAACTAATAAATTTAAATTGCAAATATTGTTGTTGATAACATTTTCTAAATAACAAACATTTCTTTTACACATGAAACAAGAAAAGACCATTTTTTTTGTTATTCTTGAAATTCAGCGTCGTATTAGGAATAATAACAGAAGTTACTTTTTTTAAAGTTTTGTTTGTATTTATTTTCTATCTCTATTCTAATAAATTAAATTTCCAATCGATACTATTAAAAAAATATAATAAATAAATGTTTTTAATAAAAAAAACTGCAATTAATTAAATTCTTTAAGATTCGATATTTTAATTTAAATCTTTTTAACAATAAGTTAACTTAAGTCTAAAAACTTGTTTAATAAAGTTCCAGCAATCTAAGAAATCATTCTAAGTGCTGTAGATTTTATTAATTAACAAAATAATTCGGCTTTTCTTCTTTATTGAATGTTCTGTCTTTATCCAATTAATGAATGATAGAGTTTAAAAACATGAAGTTAAAAATACAAAAAATGATAAATAAAAAGTATAAATTTTTCTATTAATAAAAATGTAAATTATTATAAAAAAAATAGCATTTTTACAAATTACTTTTACAGTCACACTAAAAAAAAAATTACAATCCGAATATCCGATGCATTGTCATTTTTAAAGTAATTTTTAAAAGTAACGGATTGTTGTAAAAAAGGATCATTGCTTTTTACCTTTCATTCCTTTCTTTTCTTTATACGATAAAATATTTTCTTTAGTCGAGTTTCAACGAAGTCATGTTTAAATCCAGTGTATTGTAAAATTAAAAAATTAAGGCCTTTAAATAAAAGATGTTTACAGTTTAATAAAGGTATAACAGTTCGTCTCGCCAGAAGATGAAGATAAACATTAGAGATGCAAAGAGTTTAATAAACACACCGGTGAGAAACCGGCAACTGAAGCGAAAAGTAAATCTAGTTTAACTAATATTTGTCTATTGTTGTTGACAAAGAAAAGAGAAAGAAAAAAAGTTAGGTGGAAGCTGCCCACACCTGTTGTTAGCGAAAACTGTCACAACGTGTTTATACACGCTCGTTGCTGCAACTAATAGACGTTCATCTACCATTCCGATCATGACAAACGGTTCGATTACTTACCTTCGGTCAACTGGGTTATGCAGATTAAGCATAAACCATCTGATCCGAACTATACATGTGTCCAGGAAGAGAAAAATAACGTTTAGAACATAAGAAATAAGTAGAGTTGTTGGTCAACATGCTAAATGTACCGCCATTTTGATTTGACGTGATTCTCGCGAGTATAAACGAGATTTCAAACTTTTTTCTGATTGAAAAACAAAACTATCAACTTTTTTTTCTTCTCTAAAGAAATCAATCTTTGTTTTGTATGTTTCAAATTATGCTCATGAATAAATTAAGAATAAGGATTTTTTCTTTTTTCGGAGGCAGGATATTAAAGCGGCCAATTGGTTCTACTTCTTACGGAAATTAAATCTTGTTTGTAAACAAAAGATTATAAAAAGAAGGAAAAACTTTTGTATTTTTTTTAAAATAGTGCATTATTGTATTTTTAAACTTTTCTTGAGCAAATTTTCTTATTTGAAATGAACAGAAATTTAGTAAAAAATAATAAAAAAAAGTTTTCTCTCATGAACAGAAAAATATTTTTTGTTGGTGGTGGTTAGTGAATTTTCAATTTTTACTACATCACTTTTTTTTTTAATGCATCTTTAGTTTACATCTGAAAATAAAAAGCATCATCAGAGAAATAAAATTGTCTTCACCCATTTTTTTTGCTTTTTCCAAATCTTGGATAAGCATTTTTGTTTCACATTTTGAGAAGAGTTATTGTTAATAAATGATTTTTATGGACAATTCTTATAAAGTCTTATGGTTCTTCTTGACACACTATGTATTTTGAAAATCCACCAGTGAAAAATAATACAATGCAATACTCTGAAGGATGATGCTAATTTTGACCTGAGTACAGTAGATACATGTCAGTGGGTAGTAGATATTTTGATAAATTTTTCAGTCATCTTGTAATATAGTATTACTCATACCAGTGCACCAGCTGTGCCCAAGCTTTAGATATGGTGTGATGAAAGAGTTCAGTGCAGGCAGGTATCATACTGTAGGAATACAGAGGAAGATTATCTCCCTTGGGTCATGTGACTGCTGCTTAGTAACATCACTTCATACTGTGACAAAAGTGATAGTCAGTCACCTTCCAGGAATCAAACTTAACTGTTGCTTTTTTGGCCTGAGCTGAGATTAAATCAACCTCCTCCAGCATGCGGTGCAGCTAACAAGCCTATAGTGCTGTTTTCCTATGGAATTATATTTTCACCAGGTATAGAAAATAACTCCGGCTTATAGTCTTCATGTTGGGAAAAACCCAGGATTCGCTATTTGTTGAATATGTCCTCACTAGCGACATAACATAAATCCTAAATATGGCTTTTCTAGAAACAGCAGCTCCAGGTCCTGTTGAGAATTATTATACACGACTCTCTTTTTTTCATTTTCTATTCACTCTGCTTGTTATTGCATACATGTTATATTTTCTCTGTGTGGGACACATATAAATATAATTTTGAATATGCCTTAGCAACAGAAAACTCTCTCTGAGAACAAAGCAAGTTTGTCATTTCTTTTTTTTTCTTTCAGTGAGGCGAAGCTAGATGGTCATTTTGGAGAATTGATGCACATATTGGACATGTCATATTGACAGAGTTCTCATATTGACAAAATTGCCAAATTTCAGTCACATTTAGTTTTGCACTATTATAACACCTTAATATCACAGACAGAACAGCTGAAAAAGAGGAATGGCAAATATAGATTTTTTTTACACCACTAAATAATACAAGAAATTATATATATATTTATATATATATATATATATCCATTACTATTTGAGAAATTATAATATACTAGCAGTAGAGCCCGGTGTTGCCCAGGGATGTAATAGTAAGAGATAGATCAAGTATCGACCATCATAAAGACTGAAGAATAAAATTGACAAAGATTATTGTTTAAGGTTGACGGATACGCATGTCTTAATTATTTTTTTTTTGTTTTGTTTTTTTTTTTTTTTACGAATTGGTCAAACCCAAACTCAAACAAAAACATTGTTTTCAATCGTTATGAGTCTACCAATTGAATAGAATTTTATTATAAACAATTGTTTTGTAAATGGAATTTTTAAAGCATTCTGAATGTAAAAATAAAGAAAAAAGTGAAGTTTTGTTGAAATCGGTTGAAAAATGTAGGAAATCCGATCACATATATAAACGAACACACACAAACAACCTGGGTTTTATAATAAGTATAACTCGATATGAGTTGTCCCCCTTTCATTCTGGCAACTTAATCATGTTTTCAAATTGATTTTGTGCAAAAACAATTGTGTTTTTCCAATTTTTGGCGCTGTCAGAACCACCGCAAGGTAATTTTACGTAGTCCTGTGAAGTTTTATTGAAATCGGTTGAAAAATGTAGGAAATCCGATCCAATATATAAAAGAACACACACACACACACACACACACACACACAACCTGGGTTTTATAATAAGTATGATAAATACAACAAGCAGTATGAAAGTGGTACGAAGCAAGAGTCTTACTTGTAATATTTCAATGAAGGGTAAACAGCCAGGCCAGTGATATCTTCTATATCTTTCTTGCTACCATGTAGGCTCCCACCAGCTATGGGTTAGGTCGCAAAGCAGGCTGGGCTTTGTAGCTATGGTTGGCAACCAGTCTAGGAGAAGAACAACTCTGAATTCAGAACTCAGCTACCTGAAGCTGTACAAAGATGGTTAAATATTGGGTCCAAATATTATGTTTGTGGAACAAAAGCACAGGAGATTTCAATGACTATGGATAATCTCATAGTGTTTGTGAAAAAAAACTAGAAATTTGTATAAATTAAGAATTGATCAAATCAATGGATTAGGCAGATTCAAATTATAGCAAATACACTATTAGAACATATTCTGTTAATTAATCTGTTTTAAACAAATAAAAGTCTCTCTTTAATGAAAACTGTTAATTATATAGATACAATAACCCTACTGAGTGGATACCAACTTAAAATTTAATACACTTATAATTTATGGAGAAAGATAAAAATTACACAGCATTTAAAATGTATACCAAATTATTAAAGTTTCAACTTTTAAGCATGTATAGTTATTAAGTTGTTAGAAATTTTATTCTCTTTAAGTAACACACTTTAGTATAGAACCAAACATTTTTCTGTTAATCTAGTAGGCACAGCCTGCACCCCACCTCCTCGGCATAAGCAACATAAGATCACCTGTGCTGTGCATGGGAGACTCATGGGTGATGTCTCACGTGACCGAAAATCAGTGATTTCGCTAGACACCATAAAAACCCAGCTGTTGTTAACATCATGTAGTGACTTGAAGGGACAACACTGGTGCAACAGGAGCAAATTTTGATAACCTAGCCATATATACTTAAAGTTAAATATTCACATGCATTTTGTGTCTACTACTATTTCAATGTATAAATTTAAAGAGCAATGTATCAAGTAGGTAGTTTGAGTGGTAGCCTGAGTAGCAGCTGGATCTCATAGTCTGAGTCAAAGTTGTTAGGAAATCTTCCTGTGTCTAGTCTATTTCCTGTTGTATGAAAACTGTTTTCATAAGAGGAAACTAGACTAAAAAAAAAGAAAAAGAACCAATATTTGTAAAGCGCCAGAAAGATTTTTGGAATATGAAAGTTTTGGATTTATATTTTATCAACTTTCTTCTTTTTCTTTGTAGGCAAGTTGAGTATTTTCACAAAACCAAAATTTCACAATTTTCAATCTTCCATGATCCCACTGCTGGAGTGCAAATATCCAGAATGTTGTTGATACCAATGGGCATTGGTTCCAAGTAAAAGCAGCAATGGCAGACTGCATGTTTCTATTGAACAAATTAGAGAAAATGGTTCAGTTGGGAGTTGTTTGCTTGCAGCATGATTACAGACAGGCTTGCATGCATACTTTTAGACAGACTTCCACTAATACCACAATATCATCATGCACATTTTCATTGGTGTCACCTTGGGGATCAAATGGTGTTCTGTAAAGTTCAGTGATGAAAATCAATTCTACTTTCAGGCAAGTGATGGTTATCTGCATAAAAGCATAGTGACCTAACCAGACTAGACTGCAGAAGTAAGTGATTACTAAATTGGAAGTCTTATTGCTTTTTAGTGCAAAAATGTAAACTTCTTCAAATGAATTTGATTGGTCAATAAACAAATGCTCTTTTGGGATTTTAATTTAGTGCCAAATGAATACTCAAGGGAGATAACTACTCACCATGTCCATTTCCTTCACATGTTTATTTCTTCAAAATATTTTTGCCAAATCTATTTTATATTCAGGAAAAAATTCTGATGTACATAAAACAAGTTTGTGCATGGATCATTTTGACATTTCCATTACAATATCAAACAATCTTAAAATCTCTATTGAAAATTTTGAAATACTATAATTTTTTTGCCACACGCTGATGTGTGTTAAAATCCCCACAATATTTAGTATTGTTGAAGTGATTGCTAATATTTTTTGTCAAGATTTACAAGTGATATCTTCTATATCTTTCTTGCTACCATGTAGGCTCCCACCAGCTATGGGTTAGGTAGCAAAGCAGGCTGGGCTTTGTAGCTATGGTTGGCAACCAGTCTAGGAGAAGAACAACTCTGAATTCAGAACTCAGTTTCATTCAATTTCACAAACCAATTGATGAAATTTGAATAAGCTGGTTTGTTTGGTAAAATACTTTGGCAAAAAACCTGTTTTGTCGTTTAAGTTTTAGGATTTCTTACTCTTGAGCATGCAACATACAACTGACCATGTGTAAATATCTTTTTCTGGAGCCAAATTCCAACTGTTTGAAGCATTTGGTCTTGTCATTTGTTATAGTTCTCACACACAGGCCAAACTGGAAACTGGATTCTTGTATATATAAAATCTTAATAGCTATGCAAAAAACAATATTGCATTTTTATTAAATAAGTATTTGTTATGTTAATCATTAATTTTTTTTTTAAATAGCGGGACTATTTTGTATTTTTTAACATAACTTTCAATTTTTCAAAAAAAAAAATTTAATGAAAATTTATTGTACTAAGCTATGCACCCTAG